CTACAATGGTTCACCATTCGCAAATGAATGCTCCTCCTGGTCTGGATTTTTACTAAGCATTTCACCATACTGACTAATTGCTATATTTCCTATGGCAGCCCTTTGAACTAGTCATCCATACTGCTACTGACCTTTGCTAAGTTTCCAGCTCAGGAGCACCCTGCTGAATGAATCAAATAACAGGCTTCTAATATGGCCAATAGAAATAGCCTACCAGAGAACAGAATGAGAGGCTATTTTTAAACCTTTTCAACCCTATCATAATGCACAATACAATTAACTGCAAATACCAACTGTTTCCTTAGCAGTTGTTAACAAACAGCTGCAGTGCACATGCCTGTCCCCACCCTTAAACACATTTACTGAAGTATAATGAAGAAAAACAGAGTATAAAAAAACCAAAGATAGTAGATATTTATAAATGCACATATGCAAGTAGAAGTAACTTGTTATGGTTTCTTATTTTAAGGGCATGCATGCTTAAAATCTTTAATTTTACCCTTTTAATTAATTATTTGTGGGAGTAATCATTTACATTGTAGTCTTCCACTCCAGCATTGCCTACTTGCAGGATACTACAATATGGCAAAGGTGCCAAGAGAAGTAGCTGTAATTTTTAACTATTAAAGGTTCCCCTCTCCCTGTCCAGAGGTTGCTAAAGGATTCACCAGGGCAAAAGATAGACCTGGGGAGGGGGCTAAGTACCTGAAACAGAGTAGCTGTAATTTTTAACTATTAAAGGTTCCTCTCCCTGTCCAGTGGTTGCTAAGGGATCCACCAGGGCAAAAGATAGATGGGGGGGGGCTAAGTACCTGAAACAGAGGGGTAGGAAGCTTTCAATTAATTTAAACTAAATATTATCAGCACAAGATTATGACATCTTCCAGTTGTCATAATCTGATTATGTGGCCTAACTTTATACCAACAGGATTTTGACCCATATATCTGGGAGAAGTGACTTATGTTGGAGGGAAGCCAAACTCTTCAGAGATTTATTACCGGAATTTAAGAAAGACAAATAACTGGTTGGTACAACCTATCTCAGACTGTTGTTTGTATTGCTACAGTTGCTGGATCATTTATACTTTGCAAAAACAAACGTTCTGAGGAACACAAACAAAATTGTTTGCTGTTAGTTTTATCTTGGATTTATATTCTACTCCTTCAGTCATCATATTATTGCACCATTGTATTTTTAAAGTGCTTTATATATGTTAGAGTTTTTTACATATTGAAGATTGCCCTGCAAAGTCTGGTTAGTGGGAAGCTTAAAAGTCATTTAGTTCCTGAATAAAATAATTTATCTTCTGGGAAGAGCTACAGTTGATTAGTAGAGCAAGTTTTTAGAATGCAGAAAGTCCCATCCTATCATTTTAAAGCAGGGCTGGGTAAAACTCATGTCTGAGGGCCTGGAGATCCTTTTTTGGATCAAGGTAAGCAACAGCTAAGCTAGATGGACCAGTGGTTTGATTTACTAACATAATGCAGCTTTCTTTATTCCTGGGAATGTGATTCTTTTAACATAAAGTTATAAGGGATAAAGCAATGATCCCCAACCTTGGGTCCCCAGATGTTCTTGGACTTAAACCTGCAGAAGCCTTCAGCACTAGCTTTGCTGGCCAGGATTTATGGGAATTACAGTCCAAGAACATCTGGGGACCCAAGGTTGGAAGCATGGGGCTAAAACTACATGAGAAAGGGGACAGGTAATGTTTGTGTCTCCCAGAAGACTCTATTTACTAATTCCAACAAGTATCAAATACACTTGCAGAAGTGTATTTTTAAAGAATCAATTTTATATTTCAAATGGCTATCAGAAAATATGTTTATTTCCAGAAGCTTATACTGTACAGTACTTGTTTTAACACTAGCATGTCCCAATACAAGGCTGATCGATGAAAACACACATCCTTTATTGCACAGCTCTTACAAATAACGTGCAAATTCAAGGTACAGGCAGAAGTTAGAATCTCTACAGTTGTATCTGATAATTTTACTTTCCATGGGAAGGACGCTACCTGGTCCCTCTTTGTCTTTCAGTGCACTTTCAGTGAACATCCTCTTGTAACCCTTTCCTGCTTTGGTTTTTTTCACCATATTTTCAGATATAAAATCCTTGTGCAATTATGTTGACACAAAATACAGCCCTTGGTGCTGTTTCCAGGATATAAAAAGCGAGCCTCTGACTGCCAACAAGTGATGCTGATGTGCTATTTTTATGTGTATGAAACCCTAAGGGCCTCACCAACTCATTAAAGTGTTCCCTAATTGACAGACAACTCTCCTGAGGTGAGCAAATGACTCTGGGCGTGGGGGTGGGAATTTGAATTCAAGGTCAACAAATATACTTCTGATCATGCTGCACAGAAAAACTACATACAGAGGGCTAAATAATAATTTGTGTGGAAACATATAGCTGAGTCAGCTGCACACATCTATATCTGCCTCACTTCAGGCAGGGAACAGACTCTCTCTGTTCCCAAATCCATTAGCACAACTATTGTTGGAAATCCTTAAGAGATAATTCTGCTAAGGCCAGGTTGTTTTAATTTACTGATACCAAACAGATATCGCACAATCCTTGCCAAAGTCACAGAGCTAAAATAAACCCTAACCTCCTTCACTCAAAGACAACACTGAATGAATTTGTCGTTTCAACCCATTTCCTTTTCGAGTATGGCCTAAACCCTTAGCCAACTCAAGAAATTTTATTTGTTGACGAAAACTACTGGTCCCCTCCCCATTTTGTGGCAAACTTGCCTGTTTGTCCCAGAATTGTATTCCCTGGTGTACACACACACAAACATTTTCGTGAAAATAGTTAACCATTATTACATTCAAGAATAATTTCTTGCTGTTTTGTCACTTTAGCATCTAGCTTTGAGAAATATATTGCTCCAGAATGTGAGAGTTGGATTTAACAATTGGTAGACTTGTCTCTTCTTGAAAGTTGAATGTAGCTTTCTTGCACTGGACATACTACCTCAGATATAGGTTTTTAAATATTTTTGGAGCTTTCCATTATGCACCCTCTGTTTTCAAGAACATCATCAGTACCATTAATAATTGTACAAACAATAGTGTATTTTCTTATTAACAACTGTTAATTGACAAGAATTCATCTTTGGAACACATGCTTCATTTGCCCTTAGAACCCGGAATTCCATCATTAGCTGTATTTGTCTTCCCTTCCTAAAGAAGAAAAAATGATCACTATTGCATCAGACAGTCCTGCTGAGTTTGAATTATTATCATGCTACTCTGCAGGATTGCATCTAGAGCAGTCAATCTCAATCAGTGGTTACATGTATCCCTGACAAGACATAAGAATAGTTTAAATAGGAGACAGGAATTTTCACTACAATCACAAAAAATTACTTTCTTTTATCTCCTGTCCTTCAAATGTGATATACCATCTCCTACTGATATACAGGCCATGGATTATCTATCTATAAATATCCTTCTTTGACCAGATGGGTTTTGTTATATCTATCAGGATGGAATTCAGATTCTTTGATACACTGATCCGTGGGATGTAAGATCCATAAGACTGAGAATCACTAGACTACTCTGTATATGAGATGAAAGGTGAAGCAAGTAGGAATCCAAAAATGGTTGGTCTCGGGGCGGTACTAGAGTCCTCTCAATGTGTGCTGGGGGGGGAACTATAGCATCCAAACTGACACCTCAAACTGGCTCAGGACTTTATGGCCTCTACGGCAACCATGGGTTGGTCGCAAGTTGTCTCTGACTTCACTCATTTGGCAGGGCATAACCTGGATCTGGTTTTCGGAGTTGGGTAGAATTTTGGTGATGTACCTATGGAAAAACTTTATAGAGTTCCACTGTTAGGGACATGTTCTACTACCTGAGACTCACTGGGACTCAAGAGTCCCTGTAGGATGGAAAATCCACAAAGACAGTCCACTTCAGGAAAGTCATAGGTCTAAATGGTGTTCTCAGCACTCTACGGGATTTTCCTGTCAACTGGTCCAGAACCTTTAGGCTAGGTTAACATTAGGAATGTGATTCCCTTGTTGCAATGTATTTACTGTTTACCAAATTGTTTCAAGGCAGACTTTGGAGTATTGACTCTGTAACATCCTCTGTCTCTTGTGGTCAAATTACTTCAGACTCTGAATCACCAAACAATCATTAAAATCTTTGGAGAAGCCCTATTCTTAGTCCCTCCCAACACTCTTTGAGGCACATTTAGCATAGATATGAGACAGGGCCTTTTTGGACTCTGGAACTCCTTGCCAGGTAAGGTTAGCCCAGCTGTGACACTGCTTTCCAAACAAAAAAATGTTTTTGTTAGCTTTTTAAAGCCAAATACAATTGTTGATTCCACCCAGAACAGGCCTACTGAATTACTGCAACTTGTTATGACAGCTTTCATGTACATTCTATTGATGCAACAGGTCTGGTTGAGACTAATCATGGGATTTAGCCCTTACTGTTTAAGCTGTGTTACATAATTAGCAGGCTGCTGTTTCTTTCTGTTAATTGCTGGGGTTTAGTTATGTTTCAAAAGTGTTTTTAATATTTTAATTGTAGTTATATATTATTTCAGTTTTATTTCTGCCAGCCTTCCTGAACAAAATTTTTGATAGAAAATAAACAAATGAAACTATACTGAGGTCTACAAATTTACATCCTTATCATCATGAAACCAACTGTTTATAAATACCATGAGATCACAGAGACCCAAGGTGATTCAACCAGCTTTATGAATGTTATATTAATAGCTCATGACTCACAGAATTCCCTTGGATGGTGGTTTCAAAAGTGCCAATATGTCTCTAGTGACTAAGGAAAAAAGTACTGGCAATTAATGCATGACAGCCTATAGGAATAAATGCAATTAAATTTGGAAGAATTATGTAGAAACTACATGATTTGGATGATCCAACTGAAACACTATATAAACTTTATCCCCCAGAGCAAATATTAAACCCCCATTAGCTCCTGCAAGCCCACCACCCCATATTGCCACTCACCGAGAGATCTGGGGGCACGAACACGGGAGGGAGAATCACGTGGCATGGAGAAAGAACCAGATTCCCAAGCTGCCAGGCTTCCAGGAAGGAACACAGGAATGGGGTCATGCTGGACGAAGTGGGAATTGATGGCAGGGTCTTCTCCTGCCAGAGTATAAAAGCAGCAGCAGCAATGAGAGCAAGGACTCAGCAGCAGGACCTTCTCAGCCAGCCAGCTAAAGAAGCTGAAGAGTTGGTCAAGTTTAGGAAGAAACCCAATTCCAGTTTAAGAAACCAGCAAGAGATGATAGCCAAGGAGTCTTTCAGGACAGAAGCAACCCCAGCCACATACCCTGAATGAATGAATTCACAAGAAAAAATTGCCTAAGCTCTCATTCAGCTGCATCTTATGCAGACAAAAAGGGAGAAGATCCAGGGAATGAAAGGGGAAATAAGGGAATGAAAGGGGAAATTTCAGTCATAGGCATCCACATCAAGAAACCTGTCCCTAGACATCAGGGATATTTTGTCCAAGAATAATAGAAGTGCACTGGGATGTTAGCACTAGGATGTCACCCCACACACACACACACACCATGGCGAAATAAGTTTAGTTGCTATATGTTGGTAACTGTGTGGTCCATATTTTTAATCAAACTAACCTAATTTGTAGTCCTGGACCAATACACCAATTATAATATAGTTACTCTAAATACTTTACTACTCTGAATTCTATGGCGCAGTTTTAAAATAAAAAAAGATCTATTAAAATCCATGCATCAGAGAAGGTTACATACTAAAATATGTGTGCTTTGGAAAAATACAAACCAAAACACTTGCATTAGGGGAAGATGAGTACAACATTGGAAAGAGGTTGGACCCAATGACCTCTGGGGTCATTTCCAGCTCAACCATTTTATGATTCTTTGAGTCAATACAAATATTTATGTGGGTGGCAGAGGTTCTCAACAATTCCCTTTCCAGATATTGTGGACTTCAATTCTCAGAAGTCTCAGTCAGCACAGCCAATGGCCAGGAAACATGGAAATGTGGGACTATGTTATGGGAAGGTTGTGTGCAAATTTTATGTTTTGTGTTTTTTTTAAAAGTGATTTACAACTGAATACAAACAAAACTGCCTTGGTCCAGCTACAGACTATTTGTATTTCCATACTTTAGAAATTGATATCCCATTGATATCTCTGGGGATAAACTTCACCAGTGCTGGCTCCCATTCACACTTCGTTCTTCAACCCTTCTCAGTATCTCCGTATCATACTGGTACAAAGAAAGTCCTAATTCTTTTTTTCCTAACAAATCAGAAGTATCCCTCCATGTCCATTTGGAGAGAAAAAAGATGAAGTCCTTTTGTAGTGCTATCTTTCCCTTTTCTTATTAAGCACTATAACAGAATCATATGTATGCCTATGAGAGGGGGGAAATGTAGCAAAGAAGCCACATCAGGAATAGACTTGCCTTCATCCGATGGAATCTCCTCTTGGTCATTTGGAGAAGGACGCAGAGGCTCCATATTAATGATGAGCTGCTTGTTCAAGGAGTGAGAGCTGCGACTCTGAGTAATATTGGTTCTGAGAAGGAAAAGGGGAAATGAGGACAACAACAGTAATCCATACCTAGAATGTCCCCAAGTGTATACAAGTGTATAATAAAAGACATGTAAAAATTAATTGATGCCCTACTGTGTTTTTTTTAAATATTCCTTTGTTCATGAGCATATTGGTACAGAGTAATTTGCAATGGCCAACCTCTCTTTATTTTACACATAATGGCTGTGTACAGCTATCATCCTTAGCATATCTCTATGTGAAATCTGAATGGGGAAAATAATCAAGGAGGGAAATTAAACTAGAAAACAAATAGATACCCCCCCAAAAAAAACCCAAAGAAAAGCAACTTTACTATTACCATTTCTAGTTTAAAAGGTTCAGATGAGAACAACAATCCTGTCACCGAACTAGGATAATGTCCAGTTTAGCAGTCAGGAACCTGCTCCAAGAACCTCTCTGAACATTCACATCAGCTTATTCAGGCACAACTGAGACTACAGGAAATACCTGTGCACTTCAGGTGGCTCCCTCTGTATTTTAGAACTAGCTTCCACAACTTCTTTGGCAACTTTTCCACTGTAATAAAACACAACATTTGGCATAAATGTATTCTGTCTTTTAAAATGAATAAAATCTACTTGGGGTTGCCTTTGAAGAGTGTTCAGAAACATCAGCTTGTTCTAAGTGCAGCAGCCAAACTGTTGACTGATGATGGTTATAAGGAGCACGTAACTCCCTCATTACTACAGCTTCACTGGCTGCCAGTCTGTTTCCAGGCCCAATTCAAATTGCTGGTTATTACCTATAAAGCCCTATAGATCTTGGGCCCAGGCTATTTGAAGGATCATATCACCCCATATGAGCCTTCTCAGCTTTTAAGATCTTCTGGGAAGGCCCTTCTCTTGGTTCCACCAGCTTTCCAAGGTCATGAAAGAAAGAGAGGACACAAGAGAGGGTGTTCTTAATGGCTACTCCCAGGCTTTGGAATGCCCTGCCCGATGAAGCTCCCTCTTGTCCTTCTGTCATCGGGCAAAGACCTTCCTCTACAGGCAGTCCTTTAAGTAGTAAGTTATTTCAGGAATTGTTTTTATATTTGATTGTTTTGACCTTTCAGTATGTTTGTTTTTTAAATGTGATATATATATAGTGTATACATTTATATAGTGATATTTATATAGTGTATGTTTAATTATTTTTAAAATGTGATATTTATATAGTGTTTTTAAATTTCTTATTTTATCTATTATGAGCTGTCTTGGGTGCTTTATGGGGAGAAAGGTGGCACTAACTCAGTGATCTTGGGCCAGTAACACACTCAGTCTTCTACTTCTAACACCCTACTTCACAGGAGTATTGTAAGAGGAAGAAGGTTACATATATCAGCTTGGGTTCATGGGAGGAAAAGCAAAATATAAATATAACACATAATTTTAAACAAAATTAAACTACTGTATTTTTTCTGTGTATAAAATGACACTTTTTCCTATAGCCATTAGAGGAAAAATTGAGGGTCGTTTTATACACGGAAGGATGGGGAGGCAAAGGAGCAGCTGTGCTCGGCTGCCTCTCGCGGCTGCCCATTGACTGCTGCCGCCACTGCCAGATCACCTCCTCCAGTGCCACTCATGCACTCCCTTCGGGCAGGGGACAAGGTAGCAACATGGGCTGGAGGTGAGCCCTGGCACTAATGCTGGAGGGAAGCGATCGGGTGCCAACAGCAGGAGGAGGCAGAGGAATAGCCGCACTGGGCCGCCCCTCCACCTCCAGCAAGGATCTTCACCTGCCAACATCATTCATATAATATAGCTAATAAGCTGTATTCCCACCAGTATCAGAAAATACTCACCTATAACGATACCTGCTCCCTTTAAAGAATATTTTGCTGCTTGACATAGTCTTGATTTGGCTTGATTTTGCATACCTTGAAAGATGGAAAAGAGGAAAAGAGCTTATGCATTCAATGATTGGAATTAATGCTCTCAATGCACAAACTTTGTTTCATTTTTCTACATTTTTTTATAAATTTCTGTTTTTATAACACATACATACATACAAAATGAACAAAAACATATAGGACAATCAAAAACATATAAAACAAACAAAACATATAGGCAAGGAGGTATTTGCCATTCAAACTTATCCATTATTTGATTCTGGCTACAAAGATCTTATGCCCTTCTCCCATATATCTATGCATATTATATTTTATATCCCTATCTCAAATATTTAGTTCAATAGCTAACATCCTAAATTTATAGTAATTTTATAAATTCTTTCTCCTGCATTTTCATCTATCCAATTATCTTCATAAACATTTCTGATTTCATCATTAATACTTATCCACCAATAAAATCCAAATATGGCCAATACAATCATCAGAAATCACAATTTCTAAAGACAAAAAGATATTATATGTCTAATCTTATCTACATAGTCACTATTATAGTTCACATATATTTAATAGCTCTATATGCATGCCTTAGAAACATCATAAACATTTCTAAGTTCATAATTAAATGTACTTATCTACCATTAAAATCCAAACATGGCCAGAATTGCTTATAAGTATGTTAACCATATTAATTTATATGTAAATATGTATCTCTCAAACCAATGATTTATATTGTTATGTTCAGCAAGTAACTTTCTCCCTTTTTAATTGTGCTTATCAGCTCCAGTGTCATAAATCCAAAATTAGCCTCTTGCCTCCTTTATACCAGTTTTAAAATGTCATCTATAAAATCTCTTTAAACCACGTTCGCTCCAGTTTACTAATTTTATCCCAATACAGTATAATTAATGTCTTCAGAGCAATGCATATCTGTCTGATCTCTGGCTGTAAATTTCTGCCCCCAGCTTTGCCCATTCCTCCTCCTTTACATTCTTTCCCATCCCCCCATCCCCCCATCTTAATGTACTTTCCCCCATCCC